TAAGAGCGGATAATGGAGGCCAGAATGCAATCATGGAGATGCAGGATGAGGATAGAACATATTATGGAGTAATTGTTGAATTAATTTTGGGTTTAAGGAACTTCCAGATTTCCACTACCCCCTTTCACCCAAAGGCTAGTTGAAATCTGGTACTGTCTTCCCCAAAGGGCTGTGGATACTGAATCAATTAAAAATTTCAAGACTGAAGTGGCTAGATTTTTGTTATGTAAAGCGATCAAGGGTTATGGAGCAAAGGTGGAGTTGAGGTACAGATCAGTCATGATCTAATAGAATGGCGAATAGGCTGTTATGTGTTTTCTTATGTTCCTGAAAATAAATCGTTGAAAATAACTTCTTTAGCTGCTGTTTCTTCACTCACATTGGTGAATGATCCATTCAATGATTTGTTGTGTTTATTATAAAAAAGGCTTGATTTTGGAGCCTGACTTGAACTGTACTGGAACTTGTCTAAAAGCATTACGTGGAATCAAATAGCTTCTTCATCACTTTTCACTGATGGTTCAACCCTGTTTTTTCCTTGATGTACTTTCATTTAATGTTCTTTTGAGTCAACGGATTCTATGCTTGTTTCTCTGTACATGAAATTCAGAGCAAATAGTTCAGTTTGAAGTGCCTGCTAATTCCCTGGACCTCTGCCCAATAAAAATTCTAACACATTAATTTCTCTCATTTGCATGATTTAGACTTTACAAAAAAAAACACTTCTTATTCAAATAAACAAGCTGGCTTCATTTAGATTCCCGTTTCATCTGACCTGGTTTCCAAGCAAAAAAACAAATTACTGTTCAGCAAATAAGACTTTTTCAGTTCAGATGGATTAATTTTTAACTCACTGTCATCTGATCTGTCAATAGTGTAAGCAAATCCTAGCAAGAACAAAGTGCATCTTCAGTTGAGGAGATTCAGGAAATCGGGGGGAATATACTGAACATACCAATAATACGTGATAAGGCACTACATCAAATGCAATGATTATTACTTTAGCAGGTCCAGTAGCACCAACGCACACTTTGGGATCCCAAACTCTAATCTCCCTGTTCCAAATACTCTTCGGAATTAGGTAAGCAGATGAGTCCATGTTTAACTGGCATATTTATTCTACCGCCCTTGGAAGAAGTTACCCCGCAATCCCTAACCGATGCCTTGGAGTCCTCTGAACTCCTCTCCCTCTGGCCTTCAACCCTCACCGACCCCTCTTCTCCTCTCTCCCTCCTCCACAACACCCTCTCCTCCACACTCGATACTCTTGCCCCCATCACTTCCCGCACTGTCTCCTACTCCCGCTCCTCCCCCTGGTACACCACCCACCTCCGCTCACTGAAAAGCCAGGTGCGGGCTGCTGAACGCACCTGTGTCAAATCTGGCCTAACGGTCCACCGACATATCTGGCTGGACCTCCTCAAAATTTACCGCTCCACTCTAGCCTCGGCCAAGTCGTCCTTCTACTCCAGGATAATCCTGGAGGCGAAGAACAACCCAAGGCTACTGTTTTCCACCACAACCCGACTCCTCCGTCCCCCCCGCCACCCCGCGCAGGTCATCTCCTCCAACCTTCACTGCGAGGAGATGCTGGATTTCCTTGAATCCAAGATCAAGGGAATTCGCTCCGCGGTCACTTCTCCTCCAACATCCACCAACCCCCCACCCCCTCACTCCCACACTCCGACTGCTACCCATCCTCCCCTACTCACTTTTGTACCCGTTTCCCCACCCTCTGTCACCAAACTCATCCTATCCCTGAAACCAACCACCTGCTCCCTTGACCCCATCCCCACTCCACTCCTTATCTCCCAGCTCCACTTTCTTGCCCCACATATCACAGACATCGTCAACCTGTCCCTCTCCTCTGGCTCTGTCCCCATTCCCTTAAAAACTGCCACCATCACGCCCACCCTGAAAAAACCCTCCCTTGATGCGTCGCAGCTATCAAGCTACCGGCCCATCTCCAACCTCCCCTTTCTCTCCAAGGTCCTGGAAAGAGTTGTCGCCTCCCAACTGCGCTCTTTCCTTTCCACCCATTCACTTTTCGAACCCCTTCAGTCAGGTTTCCGTGCTGCCCATAGCACAGAAACTGCCCTGGTCAAGGTCACCAATGATATCCTGACCATCTGTGACCAGGGCTCCCTCTGCCTCCTCGTCCTCCTCGACCTATCGGCAGCATTCGATACGGTCGACCACGCTATCCTACTCCACCGCTTGTCCTCCCACCTCAACCTTCAAGGCACTGTCCTTGAGTGGTTTAGGTCGTACCTTTCTCACCGTCTTCACTTTGTCTCGACAAATGGCTTCTCCTCCACCCCCCACACTGTCTCATGTGGTGTCCCTCAGGGCTCTGTCCTCGGTCCCCTCCTCTTCACCCTCTATATGCTCCCCCTTGGTGACATCATCCGCAGACATGGTGTTAACTTCCACATGTATGCGGATGACACCCAACTCTACCTTTCCTCCTCTACTCTCAACTCCACGACCACCGATGTCCTGACAGCCTGCCTGTCCGACATCGAGTCCTGGACGAGAGACAACTTTCTTCAGCTCAACGTGCGAAAAACCGAGGCCCTCCTGATTGGCTCACGTCAGCGCCTCCGCACCTCAGGCGCCGACACCATCAGCATCCAAGGCTGCACTCTCCACCTCTCAAAGCCAGTCAGGAACCTCGGCGTTTTGTTCGACCCTGAGCTGTCCTTTCTCCCTCACATCCGCACCACAACTGGCACCGCCTTCCATCACCTCCGGAACATCGCCAGACTACGGCATTACCTCACCCCTCACGCTGCTGAAACCCTGGTCCACGCCTTTGTCATCTCAAGGCTGGACTATGGGAACTCTCTCTTCGCCGGCCTTCCCGGCACCTCCCTCCACAAGCTGCAGGTCATTCAGAACTCTGCAGCTCGTGTACTGTCCCGCACCAGGCTTCGGGACCACATCACTCCTACCCTCGCTCGCCTCCACTGGCTCCCCATCCCCCAGAGGATTGATTTCAAGATCCTCATCCTCACCTACAAGGCCATTCACGGCCTCGCTCCCTCCTACCTCTCTGACCTACTATCCCCCTACCTACCTGCCCGTACCCTCCGTTCCTCTGGCTCCGGTCTGCTCCACGTCCCCCGCCCCAATCGCCCTACCATCGGTGGTCGGGCCTTCAGCCTCTCAGCCCCAGGCTCTGGAACTCTATCCCCCAGTGCCTTCGCCTTGCTTCCTCCCTCTCCTCCTTCAAGGCCGGTCTCAAAACCTTTCTCTTTGACCGAGCCTTCAGCTCCCCTCTCGACTCTCTTCCCCCTCCTCGCTCCCTCCCTTCCCTCCCCTCACCCTGACCATTTCCCCTCTCCTCGCTCCCTCCCTTCCCTCCCCTCACCCTGACCATTTCCCCTCTCCTCGCTCCCTCCCTTCCCTCCCCTCACCCTGACCATTTCCCCCCTGCTCGGGTCATGACCCAACTGTGCAGCGCCTTGGGATGTCCTCCTGACGTGAAAGGCACTTTATAAATGGAATCTTGTTGTTGTTGTTGTTAAGTGGAACTGTCTGGCTTGGATACTCTATGTGTCAGAAACCCAACTGTCTAAAACAAAAAACATCCCTCTAACACTAAGGCGATTTGCCTAGTGATCTCCTCTGCACTGTCTCTGGAGTCTTATAATGAAGACCAGAACTACACACAGTATTATTTTCAGGTGGGACTTGAAGAAGTAGAGCGAGGGGACAAGGCGGAGGGACTGAGGAGAGTGTTCCAGGACAACCTACGATGGTGGGGCTGAGGGTGCAAGGGAAGAGCAGGAGCCCGGTGCTAGAGGTGGTGGATTGGGGAGTGAGGAGGTGCCAGAGTGAAGGGATTTGACACAAGTGTTCATCATACATCTTGCTCGCATTAAATTGGATAGTCTTTTTTTCTGAGTCTACCTCGGAAGATCAAATTCTTCTAAAGTCGTATCCACTGTCAGTATCTCATATAAGTAATCGATTTTGTTGCTGATAATCAAAAGTATGAAATTTGGCCCACACCAAGTCTGTGTTACAGAGAAAGAGCAGAGAAAAGGAATTTAATTGGATAGCTCCACTGGGTGAACTACCTACACAGACATGATGGACCAAACGGGTTCCTTCTGTACTGGAAACTTTCTATATTTCCATTACTTCTCAATTGTTGAAATTGCCAGGTATGGCTCAATCACCATTCCTGCTGCTCATCCCCATTTCATGTCTGTCAGAAATTCTCCCTTGAATTGATTCCTTCAATTTACGATTGCTCATAATCAAACCAGTGTCAATCTGGCGCAGTAGCACTCTCACCTGAGTCAGAAGGTTGTGGGTTCAAGCTCCAGTTTGGGACTTAGAAACACATCGTCTAAGCTGACACTCCAATGCAGTGCTAGCGGAGTTGCATTGTCAGAGGTACTGTCCTTTGCATGAGACATTTAACGGAGATCCCATCTGCCTGTTCAGGTGGTTGTTAAAGATCCTAAGGCATGTTTGAAAAGAGAATGGAGTTTCTCCCGGTGTCCTGGTCAACAATCCCCCCAAATAAAATTAGTCACTCATGCCATGGCTGTTTGTGTAAAATTGATGTACGCAATTGCCATTTTCTTGTACCTTTCGCCCATAAAATACAAAGGCAAATCCATTTTAGAGTATATCCTGTGAACCACTTTGAGATGTCTCTACGATGTGATAAGGCACTCCATCAAATATAAGGATTATTATTAATAAACCACTTATTGAGAAGTGTAATGTAATCTGTCACATAAAGACACAAGCAGGTTGTTCTCCAGCTTGCCACAAAGTGCAATGATTTTAAACCAAGTGCTTGCTTATAAAAGGTAAAATCTCCATAAAAATAGACCCCCAAAGTCACTTCATTCAAATGCAAGCACTCGCCTGGGTTTCATAAATCTGTCGCGCTAGTGGAGGGGATATATTTTCTGAGTTGGGAAATACTCTTTGCTGCTCAGAAGCATACAATTCCTGTGGTGCAACATTCACAGCAATAGAATAAAATAATACTTTTATTGTAAGACCGTCAATTCGAAGGTTGTCAAACAATTCTCCATAACTTTCAATTTTTCCTCAGAAATAAGATTCTCTTGTTTGAGCTGCTCGATCAGGTGTTCCATTGACTTGAGCCGAGCCACAGTTCTCTGCTCTTGTTGCTCCAGTTCCTCGATTTTCCTTTGCAATTTGGAAATCTTTTCCCACAGCTGCGCCTTGCCCACGTCCTGCCTACAATATGAGTGCTCAAGTTGCAAAACCTCAGCCACTATGGACCTTTCATCGTGGCTTGTTTCCAACTGTTCTCTTGTTACTAAGGGTTCAGTTGGAACTTGAGGAACCGACAGTCTTTGATTCACAATGCACAGAGGTGGCACGGTGCGTTCGATTGGCTTCCTATAGAATTGCTGATCAGTCTGTTTAACAGTCACTGAAACTTCCAGTCTTTCAAGGGGTGTTATTTCATCCGTTGCAGCAGGACCACAAACTAACAGTTTTGCTTCTGCTGTTTCCTCAGATGAAACGTTTTTCCTACGAACAGCTCGAGAACACTGTTTCTTTCCCTGAAAATACATTTTTGGAGTTTTGTTTGTTTTTAAGCAAGCATGAGACCGTTCATTCGCGTACTTTCCACAAATAATTGACTTCTAAAACGAGTTTGATTCTTACCTGAAGATGAGTTGGAAGTAAGAAAACAGTTGGAACTGCATCTGGCTTCAAGTAGCGAATACCCCAACGCCATTCAAATGAGTCTGTCGTGAAGTGGTCACTGCAAATACACTGGTACCTCTTTGGGAACCATTTCTCCCTTTTCATGTTTACGATCCATTTGTGAAGCCTTTCTTTGTCTTGCAAGGGAAACCTTTGAGTTCAAAAAGAAGAGCGAGTTGCAAAATGATTGAAGTAAAGTTTTCAAATACATGTTCAGTAAACCGATCAGTAACTAGTTTACAGAACATGTGTATCGCAATTTCTACTTCAAACACCTTACCCTCCAACCTTTAGCTCAAAATTCTCCTTATTTATCGTACCCCCCAAACTCTCCCCCACCTTCCTCTCTAACATCTCCATCCTTCTAGCTTCCCTCTGCCTCTGTTCTGAACGCCTCCTCATCCTAGGTGACTTCAACCTGCACTTCAACCCCTCTTGCTCTACCTCCATTGATTTCTCTCTTCTCTCACAATCTCTCCCTCCACATCCACTCCACCCACATCCATGGCCACCCACTTGATCTGATCACCCAGGGCTTCAGCACCTCAGACCTCACAATCGCGAACAAAGACACCTCGGACCACTACTTCATCTCCCTTAACTCCACAATTCCTCTCCCTACCACCACCAAACCCACCTCCATTTCCTACCGCCCCTAGAAAAAAAATCTCCCTGCACTCCCTCTCCGCTACCCTGGAGTCATCTGACCTCCTCCCACTCTGGGCTCCCTCCCACACCGACTTATCCTCCTCGGACACTCTCCTCCACAACTTCATCTCCAGCACCTTTGATGCCCTTGCTCCCCCTCACCTCCCATACCACCTCCTACTCACGCACGCAATTCACCCTGGTACACCAGCCACCTTCACTCCCTCAAGACACAGATTGAAACGCACCTGGCTCAAATTAAATTTCATGGTCTACTGGCACATCTGGTTCGACCACATCAAAATTTATCGCTCCACCTCACCTCCGTAAAATTGTCCTTCTACTCCAAGATAATCTTTGAGGCCAAGGACAAGCCTAGGCTCCTCTTCTCCACCACTAACCGGCTCCCCCACCCACCCTTTCACACCTCGCTCATCCTCTCCTCTAACTCCAACTGCGAGGAGATGTAGGACTTCCTCGAGACCAAAATCGATGGGACCCGCTCAGCCACCTCTGCTCGTCCAACAGCTACCCGTTCACCATCTCCCCCTTACACACTGGCTCCTACCCATCCCTCCCTCCACACCTTCGAATATGTCTCCCCCTCCTCTCAAACCAACATTATAACCCACATGAAACCCAACACCTGCTCCCTAGACCTGATCCCTAGCCCTCTCCTTACCTCTCAGCTTCACCTCCTTGTCCTTCTACTCACAGATCTCATCAACCTCTCCCTGTCCCCTGGCACCATTCCCACACTCCTAAAAACAGCCGTCATCACCCTTATCCTCAAAAAACCTTCCCTGGACTCATGCCTGCTTTGAACTTACCATCCCATCTCCAACCTCACTTTCCAAGGTTCTTGAATGAGTCATTGCTTCCCAACTTCCCTTCCTCTCCCACCACTCCCTATACAAAACCCTCCAATCGGGTTTCCACAGCACAGAAACAGCCTTGGTCAAAGTGACAAACGACATTCTGTCCATCTGTGACAAGGGCTCCCTCTGTCTCCTCGTCCTCCTTGACCTCTCTTGTCTTTGATATCTTTGACCACTCTATCCTCCATTATCGCCTCTCCTCTCACCTCAACTTTCATGGTTCTGTCCTTGAGTGGTTCAGATCCTACTTCCACTTCATCTCCACAAACAGTTTCTCCTCCAGCCCCCACACTGTGCCGTGCGGTGTTCCTCAGGGCTCTGTCCTTGGTCCTCTCCTCTTCAATTTGTACAGGCTTCATCTTGGTGACATCATCTGCAGACATGGGGTCAACTTCCCCATGTCTGTGAATGACACCCAACTCTATCTCTCAGCCTCCACCCTCGACTCCAGGACCACTGCTGTCCTGACAGAATGTCTGTCAGACATCAATAATAATAATCCTTGAATTTGATATAGGGTCTTAAAGCGCTTCACAGAATATACTGTAAAGTGAACTGACTGTATATTTTGTGGGCGAAACATGGCAGCCAATTGCACACAGCAGTGTCCCACAAGCAGTCGTGGATTGAGTGAGCAGTTTCCTTTTAAGGTATTAGTACCTCCATAAAAGCGATCCTCCAATCGAATAACAACCGGGTTCCTACTTGCTGCCAGGTAAACAGAGGTGTGTGGAGTAAGGAAACCTGGCCAACGTTTCACCCTGCCGGGAATCGAACCCAGGTCTCTCGTTTGTGAAGCAAGTGCTCTAACCACTGAGCTACAGGACCTGGATGAGTTAACTTTCCACAGTTGAACGTCAACAAGACCAAGGCCATCCTGATTGGCTCCCATCTGCGCCTCCACACCTCAGGCATCATCATCCATGGATGCATGCTCCACCTTACTGAGCCAGTCCGGAGCTTAGGCATTTTGTTTGACCCTCAACTGTCTTTTCTTCCTCACATCTGTGCCATGACCTGCTCTACCTTTCCCCATCTCCATAGCGTCGCCCGGCTCTACCAATGCCTCATCCCTAAGGCCCCAAAACCCTTGTTCACGTGTTCATCACATCAAGGCTCGACTACGCCAACTCCCTGCTTATGCAGCTTCCCAATTCTTCCCTCCACAAGGTGCAGATCATCCAGAACCCTGCAACTTGTGTCCTCTCCCGCATCAGGCTCCGTGCATCACCCCCACACTCGCACGGCTCCACTGGCTCCCATCGCCCAGAGGATAGAGTTCAAAATCCTCGTCCTTGCCTTCAAGACTCTCCACAGCCTTGCCCCTTCCTACCTCTGTGACCTGCTAACCCCATATTAACCCGTCCACTCCCTCCACTCAGCAGGCTTCAGCCTGCTCCATGCTCCCTGCCCAGCCTTCAGCCATTCTGCCTCCACCCTTTGGAACTCCATGCCACATTCGTTTCACCTCACTCCCTCCCTCCCTTGCCTCCTTTGAAGCACATCTCAAGACCCTCCTCTTCAACTGTGCCCCTCCTCTGTCTTTACCCTCCAGACTGCTGTTGTTATCTTCCAGGTTGGGTAACCTTGTGGATAACACAATGAGAGACCTGCCCCCTCTCCCCCCTCTGCGCCACCTCTAGCGCCCCCAGTTACCATGCAAGTGGGCTGACCATGCCCTTACTGCCTGCCTCAAGTCTCTGCATGCGCATCCTAGCTGCCGCTCCCGACTCGAGCTCTCCTTCCCTAAAAATGCTCCCATCCATTCAAGTCTCCCGCTCTGTTCTCCTCTCTCTCCGTCCTCCTTGCCTCCTATCCCCACTTGACTGTCCCACAGCCTCCTTCTGCTGCAGCCTGGGATTCCTCCTCCAGGCCCATCGTGGCACTCGGCATTGGCTATCCAGCAGCAGCCACACTGACTGTCCCATTCCCCACTATCACCGCAAGCCCTGTCGGACCCAGACCCCGGTGGCCAAACTTTCCCCCCTCATCCTTATTCCCATCCTCCTTGCCAATCCCTCCATCACACATTCGCCTGCCAACTGTCCCCTCCGCAACAGCCTTCAAAATGTCTGCACCCTCTACAACAAGGCTCTGAGCATCAATGACCACATCTTTGATGAAAATATCGGCATCATGGCCCTCACTGAAACCTTGATCAGCCCAGGCAACACCTTCCCCCTCACTGAGGCCACTGAGGCCACACCACCCAGTTATTCGGCCCACAATACCCCATGTCCCAACCGCCATGGCGGTGGTGTGGCCCTCATCTCCAGGAGCTCACTTGGTCTATCCCCCTACTCCTCTGGCTCATACTCACATGCAAGCACCTTGCATGCTACCATCCCTCCAACCTTTCCCTCAAAATTACCAGCCCACCCAAAAACCTCCCCACCTTCATCCCTGACGTCTCCACTCTCCTAGTTTTCCTCTGCCTCTGTTCTGAACACCTCCTCATCCTCGGCGACTTCAACCTTCACTTTACCAACTCCTGCTCTATCTCCTCAGACTTCTCCTTTCACAATCTCTCCCTCCACATCCACTCTGCCATCCATGCTCATAGCCACCCATTCTTCCTGGTGATTACCCGGGGCCTCAGTGTCTTGGATATCACAGACAAAGCCATCTCCGATCACCATTTCATCTCCTTTAACTCCTCAATCCCTCTTCCCACTGCTACCAAATCCATCTCCATCTTCTGCCGCCCCTGCAAAAAGATCTCCCCACAATCCCTCTCTGCTGCCCTGGAGTCATCTGAAGTCCTCCCCCTCTGGTCTACCTCCCGCACTGATTTATCCTCCTTGTTTACTCTCCTCCACAACTCCCTCTCCACCATTCTTGATGCCCTCACCTCCCGAACTGTCGCCTACTCATGAACCTCACCCTGGTAAACCAGCCACCTTCACTCTCTTTAAGGGTCAGGTGTGGGCCGTCAAACGCAACTGGCTACATTTCACAGCACAGAAACTGCTCCGGTCAAGGTGCCAAATGATATTTCTGTTGCTTTTGATACCTTGGACTGCTCTATCCTCCACCGCCTCTCCTCTCAACTCAACCTTCAAGGTTCTGTCCTTGAATAGTTCAAGTCTTATCTCTCACAACGCTCCCAATTTGTCTCCGCCAACGGTTTCTCTTCCAGCCCCGCACAGTCTCGTGTGGTGTTCCTCAGGGCTCTGTCCTCGGTCCCTTCCTCTTCATGCTCCCCTTTGGTGATATCATCCACAGATATGGGATCAACTTCTACATGTATGCGGATGACACCCAATTCTATCGGTCTGCCTCCACATTCCAGGACAACTGACATCCTGACAAACTGTCTGTCAGACATCAAGTCCTGGATGAGAACCAACTTTCTACAGCTGAATGTCAGCAAGTCTTAGGCCCTACTGATTGGCTCGTGACAGCGCCTCAGCACCTCAGGCACCGACAGCATCAGCATCCACGGTTGCACACTCCACCTCACCAAGCCAGTTAGGAAGCTGAGCGTCTTGTTCAATCCTCAACTGTCCTTTCTTCCCCATATCCATGCCATGACCCACTCTGCCTTCCCCCACCTCCGCAACATTGCCCGACTCTGCCACTGCCTCACCCCTCAGGCTGCCGAAACCCTCATACACGCCTTTGT